GCTCTACCCATTTGAGCAGCAAAAATACGTTTTTAGACCAAATATTACAGATTTGAACAAATATGCAAAAAACATCAAAATTAGCACAGAAACAGTACTATATAACATTTTAGACACATTCTAGACAGTTTATCAGCTAAAAAAGTTAATTTTGGGGTAAGTTACTCTGTAAGGCGAGGGGGGAAAGATCCTCACTATCTCTGAAATAATAACAGTTGTTGTAATATTTACACTTTTAATGAAAATCTTCCAAGTGTTATCTTTATTTTTGATGCCAAGATTATTTACGTAGAGTTTGTAAATGCTCAGATACGCTTCATTACATTTTGGCACATTATTTCAAGCACAAACTTCAAGGATACCCCTTGAGACTGAAGAGGTTAAATAAAGTCTTTAGAAAACCTGATTTGTTGCTCAAGAATATTTCAAAAATTATAAAAAGTGGTGACCTTACATTTTTGCACAGAATTTATTTTTTTATACATGAAACTGTGTAATTGTGGTTAAAGTTTGAATGAATAAATAATAAATACAGCAGCTAAGTCAGCCTTCCCCTGGTTTCAGTTTGTTTATTGTGATTTATTTATCATGCTGGTGTCGGGCAGCTTCTCAGCACTGCAGATGAGTATTGAGTTTGTGGGAATGACAGCTGCAGGACTCGCTCTGACAGGCTGAATTTCTGAGCCTGCAGCGATACAAAAGTGAAAGTGGCAGTGTTGAGTAAGGGGGCGGTGTAGCCACCCCTGTCAGAGATGGGTGCCGCACAAAACCCCAGACTAAAAATGAGGCGACCACATGAAAAAAACCTACTGAGGCAAGAGTCTTAGATACTTAATAGTTTCTCTGTGGTCTGAGGTGATCTTTAAAGTTTAATCCAGTCATTCCTTTCGACTCAGTTCTTGAGACGTGTCAGAAACAGCTGAAATAAAACTCCAGCTTAGATCACAAGCTCCTGTGCGTTTCTACCTGTTGTGGGTAAAAATGTCCCTCCCCCATAATGGAGATTCTAGTGCCATCTTCTCCTCTTTGATGGCCTTGATTGTGTACCTGGACTAAACATTCTGAGTGTGTGCTGGTCTCTGCGGACTGTTTCCACTGATCAGTTTCTCAGCCCATCTGTCTGCCGGGCTTATTCAGCTGCATCATAGGAGAGATGAGCCCTCGCTGCAGGAGTCTTCATTAAACTTATCCTCCCCACCTCCCTCTCCCCATGCCCCTTCGTCTTTTTTTATCTCTCTGCAGGCCGGAGGAAAGTTAATGAGAAGACTTTGATCAGCTGACACTTTGCCTTACAACACTCCCTTATTCCATCTGTTGTCGTCCAATAAGATTACTGTTAACTCGTACGTGGACAGAGGTGAGTCAGCACCGGCACAAACTTCCACTGCAAACTGTCATCTGTCTTACTGAACCTTCAGAAACCAATTTAAAGGGTAATAATTGGTGATGTAATATTTCCCCTATAATAATTTTAAAACACAAAATAAGTATAAATAAGTATATTTGTGTGGCCTTTGTTTTTAGGGTTATTAACAAAGTTTATGCACTCAGACCAGTAATATTTGGGGTCTCAAGTTTTTGAAATGAATATTTTGTAGGTCAGAAGATAAAAAGTTCTGGAACCACTGCCTTAGATCATTGTCAGACCCCACTGTTTACCAGACACAACAGTTTCCACAGTCATTGATGCCTCCTTGAGATCCTGTGAGAGATTATAAGCTGAGGGCGGAGCTAGACCATTTTTGAAGGGGTGGCCAATGTAGAAGGGAAACGCGTGCAAATAAAGAAAATCACTATGGGTTTGAAAATTCAAGATGGCCACAATAGCTAATTCCAAATGACTATAATTCAGCTGTTTTAAGGAATACCGAGCTGAAATTTTGTGTGATCATAGCTACGAATGATCCAAAAACCCACGAGTCAGCCATTTTTAGACATACAAAGCTGAATATTAGTGTGGCCAAATTCTAAAGGCTAATCAAAAAATTCTACATGGCCACCATAGCTAACTTTAAAAGGCTATATTCAGCAATTTTAAGATTTATTGAGATGAAATTTGTTGTGGAGTAGCTAAGAATGATCACATTCTGATCTTTGATGCTAAATGAAGCTAACTGCTAATGCTAATTTTACAAAGTGCTATAATTAAAATATTTCTAAACATAGAGATAAAAATGTAGTACAGTAGTATCAGAGAACAAGCTGTAACAAAATCTAAATAAATACAAAATCCATGATCCCCCCGCCCCACACACACACACACACACGTACACTTGTCAATTATTTGGGGGTGGCTCGAGGTGGTCAGTCAAATGTCAGGGTGGCACTTACCACCCTGGCCATCCCTCTGTCCCCACCCCTGATTGTAAGAAGGAAGTAGGACAATGTAGTATTTCATTATGGCAGAAATATTTGCTGTTTGACTAAGTTTGTTTTTGCAAATCACTTTGTGTTTGGGTTTGATGTGAGTTATTTGATTAAGGAAGAATAAAGCTGAATCATGGTTTAGTTTCCTTCTGATCTAAAAAGCAGAGGGTCTACTGTATTTGTGCCAAAGATAAATGTTTAGGGCAAATTTTCATGCAGTCACACTCAACCTATTTATTGTGTGGAAATATTCAACTAAAGAGCCACAGAAAATTCAGTCCAAACACATTTGCAATCGTATTGACTAACCTGTACCCCCATAAGCCCTATCTTTTGGATTTCTTTCTACCTGCTGCTGTGGTATGTGGGAGGTGCAGCGTGATGGTGTGGCTCTGTTGTTCTGCCAGAGAAATGGATTTGCAATGATGGATGGCACTGGTCGCATTGTACAGGTCTCAGCCTGCTGCTGAATCACAGCTTTAAACTAATTTTGTGGGCACAGAAAAGCCGTTGTGCTTTGTGCTTGGGCTCGGGACCTGGCTCGCCCAGCAGCTCTGCTGAACCCTGCATGCCAATTACCCACAATCCCTCCCTTTACGTTTGCCAAGAGCGAGAGGCAATGCAAGAAAATGAAGAAATATTAGCTCGGTTGTTGAATTCTACGTTGATTTAGGATTTTGCTGTCCTGTATTGTTCCACTTTGGATTTAATGTATTTTCATACTTTTCTGATCAGAGGTTTGAACCTTGGTTTGAAAGAAAAAATGCGTCATTTTAAAAGTCTGTAGACTCACACTTTCAGTCCTTTAAAGCTTTTAACTCTCATCTGTTTTCATGCATTCAACGTTTCACAGAGCAGTTGAAGCCAGAAAAGCTTTAAGTAGTTTCACCTGGATTCACCTTCGTTGGCCCTAAAGAACAGAAAGCAAAGCAAGCATGTCTAAAAAGAAAAAAAATCTAATCCTGACGGTTGTTTTCACTTTGTGAATTTGGTACCTTTAGTCTGTTTTGTGTCAGAATGAATTTTCTTTCTGAGCGTGACAGCCACAGTGAGTGAGCATAAATTGATTTCAATCAGGGTGCATTTAGTTATGGTGAGTAAATATAAGCAGCTTAAAGGTATGTTTATATTTTCAGCTATGTATATTCATGACTGCCTTGGATGAGGGTGGATAGAAAAGCTGAGAAAACTGTCTTGAGGCTCATTCTGGGAATTAACAGCAGCAGCTGCCACTTTCTCTGGCTCTAAGCAGACAGCGGTCCACTCTGTATTCGGCAGTAAAACTGACAAGGTCAGACTTCGGCTGCAGCGACGAGATTTTCAAAAAGTACAACACAGTATTAAGGCCACTCAGTGGGGAAAAGATGAAGAGAGAGGTTTTTGTTTATTTTTCTCAGTTTTTGAGATTAAAATGGAAATACTGTTGCCAGAAAAAATATTGCCAAAAAGATGCAACAGTTAGGAGAAAAAAAGTTGCCTTTTAGAGTTAAACTGGAGGAAGTGATCCCCAGTTTGTTCTTCAGCTCATCTGTATTCATTTTTTAATGATTATTGTTTTAACTGCAGATTATGAGTGCACATTTACTGCGTACAGTACAATATAATCTGCAGTAATTCAACTGAACCAGTCCAAGATGTGCTTCAGCTGCAGTGGAATTCACAATAAGAGCCTCAAACACATAAACAGTGTTGACGTCTAAATATTCTCAAAATCCCTGGTGGTCTAGGCTGTGGTCTTTTTACTGAAGAGCAATAATGTTTATATATACAGTATATCTGAAGCTTATGAACATTATGAAGAGTTTTAAAGTTATCATGTACATGTGTTTGAAACTCTTATTGTGAAGGATTAAAGCAAGCTTTGTGAGCTCAGCTGCAGTGGAACCAACAAACCACACCTTGGACTGATTCAAATAAAATACTACATGTTTGTGTGTAGTTTACTCAGTAAAAATGTGCTGTTGTGTACAAAAATAAGATAAAAAAAATTATAGTTCAATTCAGGGGCAAAATAAGGTTAACCTGTGCTAGTTTAGTCTTGAAAGATGTATTTTTTCTCAACAATAACAAGTTTATGACAATAATATTTGACTATTTTCTCTTGACGCAATTTCAATGTCAAAAATGGGGAACTTCATCCTCAATTTGTTTTCATGATTAACTCTATTACCTGCAAAATAATATGGATACTTTAGTTTTTGCCTCATTGGTTGCATATGTTGTTTTTTAACTTTGCACTATAAAAAGACAAAATATGACTACAGTGTTGATTTGTTGAGAACACAAAACGTTAGAGCTGGGAAATTCCAAGATATCTGATCTTTAAAGAATAAAGTAGTTATATTATCAGGATCAGCAGACTTGGAAAAAAAAATCCCCCAGACTTTGAAGACTTATTGCCCAATTTCACACCTTCATGTGTAAAACTGATGGAGATCCCCTCCCCAATGAAACGTCTCAGAAATGCAGAGAACACAGCCAGAAGCTGTTTTTTCCACAACAGTTCTGTGAGATTCTGAGTGGATTCATCCTTTTTAAGAATGATAAACATCTGAAGCTCTCTAGACATCTGACACCGATGGCCTTTGCTGATGGTGTGTCTGCGTGCAGGTAGAGTTAGAAAAGTGATACAAACATCAAAGTGACAGTATTCTTATTTTCTATCCACGCTATCTCAACAATCTTTTCTTCTCTCTCCTTTTCTAATCACGCGGAGGGTTTCGTGGAAGCTGTGTGTGACCTGAAACTTGTTTGTGTCTGTAATGCATTAAGATGGATGCATGTGTCCCGCTGTCAGATGATGAATTGTGAGCTGCAGACGAGGCTCCTCGCTATGTAAAAGAGGCACTTGCAGACATGGCACTTTCATCAATCAGATGAGGGACCTCTGTAATGTTGTTACACTGGGGAAAGAAATAAAAAATAAAAGAATGGGCTCTGTTTATATGCAGCAGACAGTCATGGACAGAAGGCCATTTTATTCTGTTTGGATAATGTTTCCCCTCCCTTCATGTTATAAAAATGACTCGAGTGCATTAATGAAACATTCAGGGACCTTGAATCTGTGTTTTAGGCTTCAATCAAACTGATCTCGCTGTGTAATCAGCAGTGTTCTTACAAGTGTAGCGTTGTGTCTTCCCTACAATTTTCTTGTTTTGTTCAGAATGCAATATCAAGGTCTCAATTAAAATGACACCTGGTATGTCACATTCACACATCCTCGCAGAAGAGCAGCAGAGCTCCCTGACTGTGAGCCTGGAGCTGCTTAGTCGACACATTAGGAGCCCTGGAGATAATTTTGGGGAAGGTGCAAGGCTCCCGGTGGAGTAACGGTGAGATACAGCAGAGTCAGCCAGATGCAGCAGGATTAGAGCAAACACATTTATGGGGCAAATAAAGGTGAACAAGGATTGATGTGTATTCTGGGGTATAAAAGGCAAAAAGCTAAAGAGATAAGGGGAGTTTTTTTTCCTCCACTTTTTAAAATCTTGTTCTAACAAGTTAATAATAAGCTACAAAGTCAGTTGGATTTTGGTTGCATTTTAATCTGACTTCAACCATTTTTAATACAAATGCAACAACTCAAAAACACTGGCATAAATATGGCTGTGTTTTGTGTGATCTTCCTTTGACTTATTAATCACATGATAACTTAAAATGAGGTTGATAATTTTCTCCTTCTTTTCTACTCCTTAGTGAAGGGAGGAGTGAACTTTAGTGTCAGGTATTGCTCTCTAACCTCTGGAGCATGAGCCCCGTGAACAGGCTGTCTTGCTAGAGGAGGGTCTTTCCTTTTTAGATGCCTTCTTTCAGCTGGCGACGCTCTCAGGGCAAAATGCTGAACCTTAGGTTCACAGAGTTGTTTTTTTTTTACATTGCGTAAATTTTATAAACTTTGTAATCGGCGTGCAGATGATTGCGATTATTTTATGAAGCCAAAGAAAGATGCAAAGAATAAATTGTGCTGACTTGGATAGAAGAGCTGTTGAG